TCTTCGTCGCTGTCGTCCTCATTTGGATCCCAAAGTTCTGGGAATCTCCGAACGAAGTCCTCCAGCTCAACCAATCTCAAATTGGGGAACTTCTCGCGATCTGTCAACACCTCGCACATGTTATGACGAACTTGAGGCTCGTTACCTGCCAGGTGAAGACGCTTGATTGAGGTGGGCAAAGAAGTACTGAGCTTGTGTGTCAGTCGCTTGTGCTCTTCTGAACGACTGGAGGAGCCATATTTGACTTTCTTCAATACACTCGAGGCATCGACCCAGAGATTCTCCAGATTGCTGAAGTCTGAAAGACTTCTGATAGCCTCATACTCTCCACGATACCAGTCATTGAGATCAAGGCAGAGAGTGAGGAGGGTAGTCATCGTGTTCTGGTGCTCCTGGAGTATGGTAACAACCTCTTCGGATGACACAGGCCAGTGTGGAACGTATGCATCTGCCCGGGAGTTCAGATACTTGAAAGAGACAAGGGAGGCGCAGCCTTGGATCATCCCCCGGATCTTCTGTTCATCCAGAAATGTCTCGGTGATGGTCAGACAAGTAACATTGGACCATTGTGAGTGGGTATCGAGAGGTGAGGCTGGTTGTCCATCCCGACTTGCAATGAAAATCGATCTGGCGTTCGGAGCGAAATGAAGTAGATGGTTAAGATCAAGAGGCGTGATAGTTGCGTCTGGATGACTCTTTGGAAGGCAACTCAGACGTACAGCGAGCATCTTGATATTCGGAAGTGGTCGCTGAACACCCCGAAAGGTCCGAATCTTGAGGGGATCTGAAGGGCCTGGCTCCCCAGTCCATAGTAGGCCATCGAGCTCGGTTCTGGACCATGGGCCGTACTGGTCGCAAAACAGGCCTCCCGGCACTGCGAGACCTAGCTCTTGTACTCCGTGTACACGCGAAAGAATGATCTCGAGAAGAATGCCAAGGTGTAAGATCCGAGTTCTGGAGCATCGAGATTCCGACATTTGGAGAAGCTTCCCATCTTCCGAGTGCCAGAGGTAGTACGGTGACGGGGCGCCCGACTGTCTAGCAGCCCAGTGACTCCATTCGAGATCCGCCTCTGCAAAGTCCTTGGTCTCCATGTTGCTAGGATCTAAGTGTAGATACAGTCTTCGGATATTGACGGCAACATCTTTGTTGTTGATCAGAAACTGAATGAAGCACTTGAGCTTTTGGAAGCTGTTGGATCCATGGATGCTGATATTTCGGTAGAGCTCGGGAACCAGCATGTGCCGATACTTTCTGCAGGTACGTGAGAGATTCAAGGCTGAGGACCAAGCTGGTTGAATCTGTTTGGCCAGATCTGCATCCGTGTTGGTGACAGAGAACTGTTCCCGTAAAGAGGATGATGGGAACATCTGATATATGATTTCTGGAGGGAGATCATTTAGGGTCGCCATCATCAATGATTTGATCGTGAGTATCTGAGTGCAATGTGAACGGTGGACTGTATGAGTTTCGAGTGATCTCTTTACTCTGAGGGGGGATTCTGGTACTAGATGACAGTCAATAGTTGTTCGCCAGGCTGAATACAAGAGATGGAACAACGTGATCGGGTTTAGGTACCTGGCAGATTATCGGCTGTGCTTTCAGAGGCCAAATGCAAGACCGTTCACGCAAGAGCGACCGCCTTGATAAGGGCCTTTGTGATCCTCGAGGGAGACAAGAAAGTTGTTGTGATTTTGATCAACTTCTGTCCGTGAAGCAATCAAACCGAAGTTGACGGAGAAGACCGACTTCAGATCGACGGAGTAGAGTATGAAAGGTAGAAAAAGGTGGCGAGGTGAATGTTGGGACTGGAAATTTTTGCCTTCCTCGCCGGCCGCTTTGAAAAGCCAGAAAAGGTGAATGAAGGGGGGGAGAAAGGAGAAACGCGGTCAAGGTCGTGCTTTCCGCCGGGAGGACAACAAAGTCTGGTAGGCAAAAACGAATCTCGATATTCACCACTACTAGCCTGGAAGGTGGAAAGGTGAAGTATTCAGTGCACCTGGTTTCGAGCCCCACAGCTACTAAGCCCTCGGGTCATAGGTATCTGTGTATTCTCATTGATGTCTGGGTGTATTCTCGTCAACATGTCTTTGCCAAAGCAGAAAGTATAACGGCAGATCATTACCATTGCACCATCTACCTCAGCCAGTCGACTTTCTTCCGATTTTGTACGAAGATCAGTCACTATGAGGGCCTGTTAGAAGTATTTGGGATCGATATACCATATTTAGTCTACCCCTGGGACATACCGTAGTCTGAATAACAGCAGAACTTGCATTGCCAATGATGGGACTTAAGTTATTCAAACGATACTCATGCGCTTCTGCCTCTGCTACTTCTTTGGTACTACATCAGATAACATAACAAAAAGTCATCCAATATAAGAGGATCAAGCTGGTCTTAGATGGGACTTGTAATGGGTATCAGGCCATCGATACAGTACCCGTAGTACCCAACCATTGAACAATGAGTATTGTTCAGAAACATCCTGGCTTTCCTAAGGATGCGAACGTGAGGTTCTCGGTTTATAGCACAGCATCGTAACCGCGAGATAGCAGTCATCTCTATGAATATAGTTCGCAATATTGAACTGATTGCCATTTAAAGTAATTGCCTGCTTAAACGTTCCGCCGACGCTGTCGCGTTGGGACGAAGGAAGAAGTAGCAATAAATCAGATGTGTTTTTCTCTTTACCACTGCTATCTGAGGTCGAGCAACATCTTAAGTCACCTCAGCTTCACGTTTGGACGTCAATGTGTAGTTGTTGTGGGTATCGCCTTCGCAGTATAATTAAGGTAGGACCTGGACGATCTGGAAACACCTTTAGGCGAGTAGTCCCACTTCCCGAAAACGGGTTTAACGGGCCGCAATATCCGCGAGTTTAACTGACGTCGATTATTAATTGGCAAGCCAAGTCTTATGACCGTACCATTGAGCTGTTATTACTGGTGACAGAGTTCAAACGAAACCTTAATAATTGGAGAGACAAAAGATACGCCGGACTACTACGCGTCCGTATGCCCGTTAGCCAGCAATGACTGGCGCCTATATAATATCAGTATGTCCCGAGATAGTGATGGAGCGGCTATTTATTAAGATAGCAGATAAATTTACGTTGTTTGCTTCTCGAATAATCCGTCTGAACTTCATCCCACAGGACACAAGAATTATGACACTCTCTTCGCTCTCCGTCCGAAACCAACGTCCCGAGCATTCCCTTTCAACAACAAAGGTTGAACCATGGGAAGACTCCCTGAGAACCGACCCTTCTCAACCCGGTGTATTCGAATGGTGGTACTTCGACTCTCACCTGGCCAATGGCGGAAAGCTCATGGTGGTATTCCATACCAAGCTCTTCACCAGCCCTCAAGTTGGACTCGAACCCAAGATTCAGATCCAACTCGAGACACCCGATGGCCGAGTCTGCAATGTCTTGCAAGCCTACAACCCAGATGAGTTCCACTCCAGCAGAGATGAGTGCGATGTCACCATCACTAAAGATGGCGTTGTCAACTTCTTCCGTGGCACGGGGCTCAAGGAGTATCACATTCGCGTGACGGTCGAGAGCCTTGATATCGACATCCAAATGACCAACACGACCTCGCCCTGGCGCCCTGGAAACGGCCACGTGTGGTCCAAGGACAACGAATATTTTGATTGGTTCGTGGCGGTGCCCCAAGGGAAAGTCACCGCTACTTATACCATTGCTGGCGAGTCGCCAGTCACGGTGGGCGGGGATGGATACCACGACAAGAACTGGGGCAACGCGCCGCTCGCTCAGACGATCAACCATTGGTACTGGGGCCGAGGAACACTCGGGCCTTACACTGTCATCTCATCCGCAATTGTTTTCTCCGAGAAGCACGACTCTGTTCTGGTCAAGACCTTTATGATCCAGCACAAGGATACTGTCGTGGCTGATGATGGATCCAAGGTTAGCTTCAATGCTGAAGGCATCGAACATGATGACAAGGTTGACCGCCCTGTTGCCGACACACTTCACTTTGAATACCAGAATGAAGGCACAGTCTTCGTCATTGAGTACCTCAGAGAAGAGACCACATTGCGCCAGCAGATGAGCGGGGCATGGTATCTCCGTTTTGCCGGCGGGATGAAACTCAAAAAGTACCAAAACAACGAGCTGGTTGAAGAGCATGTGGGCCACACTCAATGGGACTCGATGTGGTTTGGACAAGGGCGTAAAGAAGACCTTCCTTACAGGAAATGACGAGTGTGAGGATGGCCACGACTTGTGAGGCAGTTTGGGTGGAGCTTCAGCGAGCTGTCTCAATCAACGGTCTCGACGCGGAACAAGAGAAGGATCAAAAAGGCCGCTGGAGAGGACGAGAGTGTCTAGATGAAATATGACTGGCGATGTCTCTATACACGTGCTATCGCTTCTGTTAATTTTAGAATAATAAGAAGGGTGAAGACTACAGTTCCTTCTCGGTAGGCTCTTGTATGCGTATTGAAGCCTAGCTCGACTTGTATCTCCCCCGCCAACTTGCCATAAGAAATACTTACTCCCCAAAGCTCAACTTTATTGATTATGTCGGACATACACTTCAGCGTCATCCTCAGCAATTCCCCTCCACGTGCTTCATGGGTGCCCATAGATGGACGCCAAGTGAAAGTATTCACTTAGAAGCATCAGGCAACCAGGAAAGTCCCTTCCACCTCTACAATATCATCGTCGTTCAGTCTCTGGACTTCAATGATCGACCGAGGGGGTTGTCTATTGGGGTCGTTCCCCCAAAGCTCCGTCTGTGCCTGATTGCACAGAGGCCTATACCGATACATATCGGTCACATACACAACAAGACGTACTGCCGAAAACCGATCAGTGCCAGCAAGCTCGGCAAGTTGGATCATGTTGGCGTAAGCTTGGCGGATCCGGTCAATACCCACCGGAGCAAGGGTATTGTTAGATGGGTAAATGCCGCGCATGCCTGCTCCCGCGCATTTGTCAGTGGCTATGGCGGGTAACGCGAGGCATGTGGTTATGTACCGGCGACGTAAACAGTACTTCCTGCCTTTGACATCAGACTCCATGGGCCAGTAGGCGGGAACATAATTGAGGGATTGAAGATCTCTACCCCTGCAGATGAGGTGTAGTTGGGTTCTAGGCGAAGCGAAGTCGCCGCTGATATTATGGATAGAATGCCGAGGAGCTTCATTTTAGATTGAATTGATACAGACACCTGCGGAATGCGAACTTTGAAAATTTCATCGTGAGCGCTTCAGGGGAGGACTCGGAACCCCTTTAATTGGGTTTATTTTCCACGCGCTGCTCAGTTCATGACATCATACCAAGCTGGCTTTGCATGCTTGGCGCCGATCAAGTCCCTCGCGTCTGTTTTCTTTTGTAATATGACACAAACTAGAAACTTTGGCTAGAGGTAACATTGTTATGAGTCCGAGGGAACTACCTGCTACTGCCTTTCTGAGATCCGATACTTGATAGCGCAACGTGTGTGACCTATCGCTCGCATAGGTTCTACTTCTCCAAGCGGGATTACGAAGAAACCTGGGAGCAAGATTGAACTCTGGGACCTGGAGCAACCTTCCAATTTGCGAAAGTGAAGGCAGAACATGTTTGGCAGTGAAAGGGCTGACTCTCCGGTTGCTAAAGATGGAAGCTGGGCCACGGGGGCGAGAAAAGGCTGCAGTGAATGACCTTTCCTATCTTGTGCCCTACTAATGCATACAATCATGTACTTTCAGAGTAATCACTCTACCTTACTGAGATTTAGATTATTGTAATGCAACTAAACCGATCAATCTTAGAGATGGAGGCGAATAGACTGTTGAAGTCAAAAACTCCGACTCTCTCAGTCGACTGGACGGACTCGTTAATCCATAGCCACATGCCTGAGTGGTCGCAAGGATGCGCGGAGTCTGGTTCACTGTAATTTGACATTAGTATACGAATATGTAACGTTCTTGAAGTCTTTTTGATTCATTCTTATCTCTACAATCCGGCAAGCCGTGAGGAAAGCCTCCTCATCGCCGGCGCATTACGTTTGTAACATATTGACTCCAAAGGTCTGAGTACACAACTCGGTTTCTGATGTACTTTCAAATGCCTTCTTACTGATTCGGCTTTTCCCATCTGATTCTTGATCAGCTTTTGCATATTATTGAGTAAGGCAATCGGATTGCCATCTCATCTCAAGACGTCGTCCGAATACAGTATTAAGCATTGTGAATCAAGTGTTCCACGTGAGTCTCTTGTACCGTGTTCGGTGTGTCTCAAACGCTAGCTCAAAAACGGAGGCTTCCAGCGATTATCATCGAAGACGCGCCGGATCCGGAACTTGGCGGGTATAGTGTCTGACCAATACCGTCTGGTTCAAATAATATATCCACGTGTTGAATTTTCAGGCACTTTGGGACATATGCTAGTTTCAACCCTAATGTCATGAACTTGCTGCACTGCCTGGCATTAAGACTAGGAAGATGGCTCAGAGCGACTCCGCTACGAACCGGGACGAATCGCTGCTAAGCTGGACACTGAGCACTCCAGAAGAACAAGAACGAGAAAAATACTAAGTCGGAAGTCTCAATTAAGTAGAGCAAGTGCAAGACAGCGTTTGGTCTGGAGAATGCCTACAACGCCAGCAATTTGCGGTTTCTCTTTCCTAGAACATCTACTAAACACCAAGCTGCGTGCCTTGCCGCGATAACGCATGGCCGAGGCGGGAGTCTCAGCTCGATAATCGCAAGCCCCCAACGAAAGCGTCTTGATTTTCCCGCAGAATGAACTAGGCTTGAAATATTGTTGGTCGAAGAACGACCTAGTGACTGAGACTTGTCAAATTATGGCAGTGTCTCAGTCGGACTTTGAATCAGTGACACAGCTGAAATAGGCAACGAGCGGATGAGACTCTGTATAGCAGAATGCGATGGGCCTACGGAAGGGAATTGCTGCAAAGGAGCACTGCATCAAATGAACGGCCCTCTGCATGACGGTTCGGACTCTGGAGATTGAAGTTGCACTAAGCAGGCGAGCTACAGGAAATGGCATGATTCTTAAGAAACGGCGGGGTCGGCCCGTGACACGGTGCTTCCGTTGACTCTGGGTCATTCCGTGTGCAGTCCGGGAAACCATGGACTGTCTCAAGCCTCACGTCCCGGAGTAAAATGGAGATCTATAAAACAGCCTGCAAGACAGCCTGCAAGGGACCGCTAATGGGATTTTCGCATCATTGTCAATCGCATCTCGGGCAGGCAGCACTAAGACTACCTTACCTCGGGATCTTTCGTCCATCATGAATCTCTCAAAGTTCTTCACGACTTTTCTCCTTTCTGCCCTGGCGGCGTCTCATCCCCTTCTCGAGAGAGATGAGCTCCAGGAAAGAGCTCAATTCCAAGAGACAGGCTTCATCATAGACCAGCACAACCGGGCGAGGGATCTCATGATTGCGTTAGAGAAGACAGAGCGACAAGGTATGTCTCAAGGCTGGTGCCTGCCAACGAACCTTTGACTAACTGATGCGAAACGGATGCCAAGTTTAGAGAGAGTCTGTCTGCGGATTGCGCCCACGCAGATAGGATCGTTCAGAATATTCGACAGAAGGAGATGAAGACAGTTTGGAATCTGAACAATGGAAGCTTTGCTGGCGAGATGTTCGCCTTAGCCCGCCCAAAGATCGCAAACACGACCTTGTGGAAAGTCGTCCAACGTATGCCGAAAGGCGCTTTACTTCATGCGCATCTCTCAGCCATGCTCCCTTACAACACTTTGCTTTCTTCCGTCATCTCCGTGGAAGGGATGCTATTCAAGACCACAAAGACTATTGGCACCGCGGAAGGGCGCATTGCATCTCAGCCTACGTTCTTACCGCCAAACTCTGCCACCGTCAGCCAGTGGGCCGACATCGCCTCCGCAAACTACACAGGCCAGGTTGTGACTGTCACAACTGCCATCGAGCAGTTTCCCGGGGGAGAGCCTGCGTTCCGCGATTTCATCATGAGCAAGTTGGTGCTTGCTCCCGACGTGGCGATACAGCACGAATTAGGAGTCGATGAAATTTGGCGTCGCTTCCAGCCCTTGTTTGGCACAGCAGGGACTATGCTGATCTACGAGCCCGTTGTACGAAGTTTCTGGAGGAATCTCTTTGACGAACTCGCGAGAGATAGGATCAGCTGGGTTGAGATCCGTTCTGGAGGCGCGGCGGGCAAGCTGGTACTGACTGGGGCACCAGCATCGGATGACACTGACGGTAAGAAATGGTGGGGTCTCATGGAGGAAGAGCTTGCCTACTTCAAGGGTCAGCACAACGATACCTTACAAACCGACGCTACTCTAGCTCCCTTTTACGGTGCTCGGGTTATTTGGGCAGACCAGCGATCTAAGCCGACGGATCAGATCCTAGCAAGTGAGTCAAACCTCTACATAGATGCAATATTACACACAATGATTACAGAGGCTAATGATTGTTGCGTAGGCATGAAAAGTGCGTTGGAGCTGAAAAACCACTTTTCAGAGCTATTCAGCGGATACGATTTAGTCTCCCAGGAAGACCTGGGCCGTACGCTGCTCGATCTTGCGCCGGAGCTATTGTGGTTTCAGCAGGAGGCGAAGGAGAAAAATCTCACCATGCCCTTCTTCCTCCACGCAGGGGAGACACTCGGCGATGGTAATTCGACCGATCTCAATCTGTTCGACGCTGTTCTTCTGGGGACACGAAGGATCGGCCACGGATTCTCGCTCTACAAGCATCCCGAGTTGATCCATGCTGTGAAGAAGAATAACATCATGGTTGAGGTGTGTCCCATCTCCAATGAGGTACTTCAGCTGGCTACGGATATTCTGCATCATCCCTTGCCAGCTATGATTGCGCACGGAGTCACGACGGCTATCAGCAACGATGATCCTGCAATGCTGGGACAGGACGCCGCCGGACTGAGCTACGACTTCTATCAGGTCATTCAAGGGTTTGATAACGTTGGCCTCGCTGGACTGGTATGATTCCTTTTACAATTTTTGGTGCTTTTTCGTTATTAACACGTTGTGGCAGGGTGCCCTTGCGCAAAACAGCCTGCGCTGGTCCAATTTTGAAGACCAAGATGACAAGGAATGGGCGTTGGATATCGACCTGGGTGAAATAGGAAAGGGAACGAAGGGCCAGCGCATTCAAGAGTGGAATGTTCAATTTGATTCCTTTTGCCAGGAAATTGTTAAGGATTATGGCGCGACATATGGAGGTTGACGGACAACTAAATGTGTGCCGAGTGACGTGCACGTTCAGTGAGAACCCCGGGCTGAAAACCCGGAGCTGAAGAAGTGACTGCCAACGGCCTCGATGATGGAAACGCCGTGGTAACCGGCCATGACTCTCTCATCTTGGGTCAAGACACGGAAGACTGGCAGGGCATATATTCCGAGAAAGAAAAGATTGAGCCGCACAAATGGGGGTTAGGAAGATGTGAGTGTGTGTGTGTGTGTTAGAAAAGGAGAAGAAAACTTGTCGCAAAAAGCAAGGCAAGGAGTTTTTTCATTAGTATTCAAAGCACCATTGGTTATGGGCAAGTGGTTTATTGCTAGTCTATGAATCAATATCGGTGATTGCATGAGGTCTTCAGGCGGAAGTGACAACAATGCCGCCAGATCTTTCCCTCAAACCCCCAAATTGTGTCTTCAAGATAAATAGGCAAAGCATTGCTGTCAAGCGTCCACTCCGTAATGACAGCACAGTGTCGTCCACCATAGAAAGCAATGCCGATGGCTAGAATGCTAGTAATGGATCAGGACGGATGGAAAGAACCAGACACTAATTAGGAATGGGTAAGAAGAGAGCCAAAAGCTGGAAGTGAAGTGTAAAGGAGCGAACTGCCACTTAAAATATGCTTTAACTTCGTGGCAATTTCGACTTTTGAAAATAGTATCGTGTTGAGGTTTTTGAGAGTGAGAGGCGTACACCAACCGATGGTTACGTTCACACAAAGGAGCGGGGTGAAAGCAAATAGGGAAAACTGAGAAAGCGTCAAGTCGCTAAGTAGGCAAGAGGTCTTAGACGAAGTTGTATCTATCCTTCCGAGTCTTATCTATTCATGTCGAAAGACTGGCGAGGTGATCAAAACTTTGCCATCGACAAGCAGCGAATGGAACGCATTCACTGCAGAGACTCAGGAAAGTCTCCCCCCACCCACAAAACCAGAAAGCAGAGCAAATGATACATGGGTCTGGTTGAATGGTGGACTGAGAAACTTATATTGATGACTACTCGCGGTTGAAGCCGCTGACTCTCTGAAAAAGTCCTCTTGGATATGAAGTGAATTCGTATAAGGTATCCACGGTACAATCGTAACGATTGGCACTCCATCTGGACAAAATACCAGAACAAGATCTACATGGTCTAATTGAGGACTTTGCTGAAGTATTGGCTTGGGCGTTTGTCGTCCTTAAACTCTTCCAGATTATCGCCCTCATTGGTCCAGAGCCTGATATCATCATTCTCACCAATAAGCTTGAGTTTGACTCCAACTGATTCAAGACTCTGGCTGTTTTGCTCGACTAATGTCTCATCGTTGATACTGAAACTTTTCAGATGCTCCCACACTGATTTGCCCCCAGTGAGCATGAATGATATCCAATTATCGAGGTCCTCGCGAGGCCCTGTGATGCGAAGGTGAAACAAATTTTGTGCGTAATGGTTTGGTAGTGCGAATGACCTAATGGCTTCGTACTTCCATCTCGCGTCGCTCTTGCCAGAGTCAATCCACAGGTGTGTCAAACTTTGTAGCAATCCCATTGACGGAGGAACCGCCAGCCCCGAGTATCCCCGCGGGGCGTTAAATAGGCCAAGACACAACGTTTTCAGACATTCTCCTTGAGTTGAATTCAGATCACCGAGAATTTTGATCAGTGGATCTTTCCACTTCTCGCCAATACGCTCTTGATGATCCTCGGCAATGTATCTGAAGGCAGAGAGTTTGGTTGCGCGTAAGTCGATGAGGTGGCCAATTTGGGCACTCCCAGGGCTTATCTTGTAGAACGTGATGTCTGAATGGTTCCTTAGGCCATGACCTTCTTCGTTGGAAATTCGGACAATCGGCCCCTCGAGAAATAGGTGCTTCGCCGGCATAGAATCTGATAGAATGCTGACGATCTCCTGGTCCCACGAAAGTGGTGAATCAGGTTTCGGCTCACGAGAAGCTGAATCTCGAAGAGCCAGAGAGGATACCATGTTTTTTATCTTGTGTTTGAAGCCTCTGAACATTTCTAGAATGTCCTTGTGGCACGCAAGCTGTACCATTTCCGGAAAAGTGTCCGTGGAGAAAAGAAGGGCGATGACTTGTACATGAAATTTCCGGATTGTCAACTCACTTTCGGGGCTCTTGCACATGAGAATTCCGTTCTCAAATTGGAAGGCTGTTGAATCAAAAGGAACATTCTGCTTATCTGCGAGGGACTTGACGCAGTCAATTTCGTATTTCCAAATTGGCCCCCAGTTCTCGGGATGAATTCCATCATAGTCGATATATAGCCGCTTAAGACGTGGCTCTTGCTGCCCCGGATTTTTCTTGACGTGTACCAAAATCGTGATCAATTGTCGTAGGTTTCCTCCATCAACTCGAACCGTACGCATGGCATCTTTCATGAGCTCGACAAAATCGGCATCTGAACTCTGGGCCCTGTTTTCCTTGTAAACATCACGGAGGGATTTCAACCATTTCGCATCATATGCGATTAAGTTGGTTGAGTTCTCAGACAGCTCTGTGTCCTTAGACTTATCGTTTGCATGGAGCTTCTCTCTCTCTAGTATTTCATCTCCGAGAGACAAAATGGCTAGATGTTTGTCTTGATGAAGTACGAGAGATGACTTGCAAAACTCCATGAGTCCTTTGCATTCCTGTGACTTTTCCCATTCAGTTTTTTGCCCTGAAGAAGCTTCGATTCTCTCGTGTGATTGATACATGTATGAAGCAATCGTAGAATGAGGTCAAAACTTGGATTTCTCGTTCAAGTCTCTGGGTTTGTCAAGCTGGATATCAGCTAATGAAGCGTCGGATAAATAACCTTGTCTGGATATTGAGACCTATGAGGCGGAAAGACTGGGTCTAGACGTAGGATTGTGCCGAAGTTGAAGTTGACAAGGAGAGAATGAAACATAGAGAAGGGAGGCCTGAGTACTCTTAAGTAAATATGAATTCAGAAGTTAGGCACATAGCCTGCGCTGTGATTGTTCGAATCGTAGCATCATGAAAGTTTGAGGCGGATATCGAGGACCATCGGCGTTGCTCTACTGCTAGACACCGCCGAGAGGCTCCCGATTCTGTGTTCACCCTTGACACGCTAGATTCTCACTTATTTCCCCACAATTGATATCCGGTCTTTGTTGCCGTCTGATTCTGTTCGCACGTACGCCTCTGTTCCAATGCCGTAGGCGTATCCTTCGGCTGCAAGCTTTGAACAAAGACGACTAACCGCCATCTCGTTCGGGATTCAGTCCTGGTTTGCGGCGGTGAAATAACCAACCAATTTACCCACCGTCCCCGGCAAGAATGCGATATGTTATAGACTGTGAGTGAACTCCTGAGTGTTACTCTTGGCAATTGTAGCCTTACTTTCTTGCCATCATATGGGGGTGGTGGACACGACAAAGGGTAGACAGAGAGTATGTTCCGAGATACATTATTTTAGTATGCAAAACCAGACCACACCGCAAAGAAAAAAGGTCGAACAGGAGTCCAGTCTTTCAAGCAGCCTGTTCAGTTTGGAATGTTCGTGTGGCTGATCAACTGGACGAATTGCAAGGCGATGACGAGGATTTGGCTGGCAATGATCCTTTGAAAGAGCGAATTGTATCATTAGCCGCCAGCGACTTATCTAATATGATGTTCTGCGCGACTTAAGATGGGACAATCACAAACTTGCTATCTTGAAAGCTTTTGTGTTCCGAAATTTTTTCACATGAAATGTATGAAAGAAATAGATTCACTGTGATGCTGCGTCAGTCGGCCGTAATTCCTTGGTCTTGCCGTGGAGACAGAAGCCAAGGCATACTGGGCCAGTGAAAATTTGTCGATGGCAGTCGTTTGGCGGTTGTACTCCAAGCCATGCAGTCAGAAAGTACTAACAAAGCCTTGTAAATAAATGAAGATTGTAAAATTGCCTTCAAACGTATGAAAGTTGGAGTTGTAGCTTAGGATGGGCAACATGCGCAAAGTTTAATACTTAGGTACTAAGTTGACCAGAGCATGATGATTATGGCAACAGCGGGGGGGGGGGGGAGATGGCGAAAGTGCGTTGATCAGTCCATCGCCTGCGAAATCATGTGACCCTTGGAAAACCCATAACCTGGTATTCTAAGACAGAATGTTGATGGAAGAACCACGTAAAAATGTGTTGAGACATGGCTGTTGTACGAATGTTAATAAGATGAGGATGGAGCATCAACGACTGTATTCAATCAGCCACACACCCGCTTAGATAAGAAGGTGAAGTGCACCGCCACATGAGGCACGTTGCCTTATCTTGTCCAAGTCCCTGGAGTTCGTGCGTCGGCCGGGCTGTGCAACACAACGTGGACAGGCGCCATCAGAGGGTACGTACCGATCTCCCACTAACGGGCAACCAGCGGACGCGGTCAAGTCTCGGAATGACATTTCGCGACGCCTGACACTTGACAGTTTATGCACCGAAGCTCCGTCTCCATTTCTCGCCAGTCCTCCCCTAAACCACCTGGTCTCACCTTGGCCACCGCCGCCAATCGCCTCCTCTTTGCTGCTCCTCTTTCGCCAACCAGTCGACATCCTCTCACCGAGCTTGATGCGCGAATAATTCCAACTCCTCCTGCCTTGCTGGAGATGCCTTCGGGGACAACACTATGGACTTTGTGAGATACCCTAGACGAAACACCCCTCCCTCCCTTTTGATCTTGGGCTTGGGCAACAAGAAACTTCAATCCTGACCAAAATCTAGTGGTCGCGCCTCCTAGCAGGCACCTCGCTGTCCCCCGCGGCTCATCGCAAGGAAGAAGCAAAGAACCCTACGAAACGTCTGCATCGCTTCGACAAAGAGTACAACCGCATCCTCGTGAGAAGCTTCCCCCGCGCTGCCGGCGAGGCCCTGATCTTAACACGTGATAGCAAATCTGGAGGTCGTCTTCCAATCTCGCCAACGACGTCGATGCCGCCGAGAACCTCGAACTCCGCCTCCAAGAACTTACAAACATCCTCAACGACGAGTCCCGACGACCGCTACCTCACCCGTGCATCCAGTATGCCGCCAAGAAACAAGTCTACGTACCCATTGGCAAGATAGCCACCACCTCCTACAACGAGTGGATCATCAAAGAAGCTGTGCTCTTCTTCGCAACTCTGCTCGAAACCGAAGAGGAGGCATTTGTCGAAAACACAACCTTCTCCGCCAGCTTGACGAACCTCCTGGTGCGCATCACCGGCGTCAACAGTGTGCGGTTGGGCTCTGATACCGAGGCCAAGGTCGTTGAGTTGGCTTTTAACATCACCACCAAGATCCGCCTCAACCGAGAGATACTACACGCCTGGTTCAAGAGCCATCACGATGGGAATCCCAAGGACAAGCCCCAGGACGGGCATGATGCATTTGCTGGCCGAACGCAGAGACAGGATTTCCCGTTATTCTACATCCTGATGGACTACATTCACCACGAGGGTAAGGTTGGGGACTTTGCCAGAACAGGTCTGCTGTACATCATTGAGTCCGCATCAAGCGATGAGTCTCTCGAGCAATGGATTGTCGAAAGCGACCTCTCCACTCTCATGGCCACCGGCCTGGGTGCGCTCTACAGTCAGCTGAGTCGCAAGCTGGTTATTGACTATCCCACCAACGATCTGCCTCCCATCCTCGCTTTGTCCGACTACCAACACCCAGCCTCCACCTTTGAGATCATCAGCTCATGCTCTGGTGATTTCCAACTACACCTTGAGACCTTCCTCTCTCATCTTCTCTTCTGGCAGGATGTCTTAGACCACTGCAAATCCGTCGAGGTGAAGCAGACGCTTCTGGAGCATTTCCAGGTCATTTTCCTCCAACAACTCTTGTAAGACAGCCCACCTGCAGGTTGGCCATGGTAAATATTGACATTTTCCCTAGATACCCTTCTTTACTAGAGTCGTCCGATATCGACGGAGGCTCGTCCGTAGCTGTCTTGACGTACCTCCGCCGGATCCTCGAATCCCTAGACCACCCTGATATGATCAACCTTATCCTTCATTATCTGCTCGGCTTGCCTGATCATGTCACCGAAGACATGTCAGGTTCCCGAGCCTCCATCAGTGCGGCTCGCAAACGTAAATCCATGGATCTCGCTACTATGCTTGCCCAGACCAAATCCGACATCACGGCTACTCCTTTGCTCTTCAATCTGGTCGATCTTGCTCAGGCGTGTCTACGCTCACATAACCAGCAGACCATCCGCGTGACTCTCCAGCTGATCTCAGCTATCCTCCGGAGGCATCATCGTTATGCTATCAGCACGCTGCTCCGGACTGAAGCGGTCTTGGGAGCCAAAATGCACCGGACTGTCGGTGCCCACGAGCAGGAGGTGGATTATTTGATGAGTTTGGCTGGGTCCATTGGAGGGCAGGACAAGTTTGACGAAATCTACGATAACGTCCTGAAGGACACCATGTCCCGGCTCGAGAGTCATCCCTGCTCCCTGAAGCTGGTCGCACCCAAGATATCCACCAACAATCATGACTTGCCCACTGTTCCTGATACACTGCCTGGGGCGCCACGCGACGTGCACGAGCACACGCTTCGCCCGGACGACCCGCTGCTCAACTCGGTTTTGGATCTGCTCGAGACCTTTTTCATGAACCCCGTCGACACAAATCTCTCCCTCACCGAGGCCATCTTAGACCTGGCCATTTGTGGCTACATGGCACCCGAAGGATGGATGTTGCGGAGCCCTCAAAAGTACACCTATGACGAGCAGCCACCCAGCCCTACCTCACCCGACGCCTCGACCACTTCCTTTAGACCCCCGACAGACCCTGATTCTACGACGTCGGAGGAACAGCAGACGCTTGAGTCGTTGGATGCCTGTCGTCGTCGTCCAGTATGGGTACAGTCATCCCTACCTCGCATACTCGTCGTCCTACAGCAGTTGTGCAACCAGGTCACCAAGTATCGCGAGACTGTGCCCCGCTTCGAGGATCTTCTGCAAGGTAGGAGAGAGGCGTTCCAGACTGCAGACCAGCCCCGCCCGCCTGGTCCACTGTTGCCACCCCGCAAGCCAACACCGCAGAGGCATAGTTCAACGCACACCCCGGAACGTTCAAGTCTGGACGACGCGACCCGCAGTGGATCGCCAGCGCGGCCCTCGGGTCTCGAACGGTTTGCTCAGCGCCTGGTGTCGGAGCTGAGCACGCCCAGCCGTACTGGAAGCCCACGGGGCAGGAAGAACAGCCGAAGTTCCGGAACGGGTAGCCCGGCACCAGGTGTTATGTCTGGTGGGTATGGATTCTCTACGCCAACGTCTCGGCCTGTTCCCCCGCCCAAAGACACGCCTGGCAGTCACGATAACTCTGGCCGGGGCGCAGCGGATGAAGCTGGATCGTCGCACACACCTCGAGATCCGGTAGCCAGCCAGGCCGCGGC